GAAAATATTTTTTTTATTACCTATTAATTATATATCGACCCTGGAAAAGTAAAATGTCTAACATGTATTTGGAAAATATTATAGTAGAGAGATTTAAAGTTTTTTTTTTCAAGAAAAAACCATAACTCTAATTTTATTTACTAATACGAGTGTCATGCCAAAAGAAATTAGATTTTCAAAATTTATAAAATTTCTTTAATACAGGTATCGATTTTTCCAAAATATTCCATTCGTCTAAACCTCTTGGAAAATATCGATTACTCTTCTTTAGACATCTCAGAAATCTCCAAGTTATAAGTAGCCAAGGCATCTTCTTTGCTTTCAAACCGCTTGCCTTTTAATTTTTCTTTAATTTTTGGAAAGAGGTAAATATCACAAGGTGCTAGGTCAGGGGAATATGGCGGGTGAGGCAGGATAGATACATTTTTTTAATGAAAAGAGTCGAGTGTTCTAGCAGAAGTGTGCGGTGCGGCGTTGTCGTGATGCCAGAGGAGGTGCCGGATTCCTGACTTAGGCCGCTTGTCACACCAAGTTGACAAGACTTTTGGGGCACAAACTGTTATATACCATTCGGAGTTAACTGTCCTTTGATCCTCTAGCACTACAGTAGCAATGTGTCCCGTCATGCAAAAAAATGAGGCGACCATTTGTTTCTCTGTGCTTCGTGTAGTACGACATTTCGTTGGTGTCGGATCATCTTCAAAGCACCATACAGTGGACTGTCGCTTTGTTTCAAGATCATAGTTATATAACCATGTTTCGTTACCTGTTAGTATATCATAAACGTTTTTTTTTCTCGCCAGCGTCGAATTTATCTATCATAAATTTGCGTCAATCCACGCGACGTTCTTTCTGCACATCGTTAAGTTAGTGCGGAACCCATCTCGAACAACGCTTATGGAGGGACAGTTGCCCGTGAATAATAGTTTGCAATGCTGCTGATCCAATGCCCAGTACTTGCTCAAGCTATGTATGTAGTTCGTCGGTTTTCATGAATTACTTTTTCGACAGCTTGAACGTTTTCTTGAGTAATCGCGGTTGGCGGCCGACCTGACTTCGCTTCATCTTCAAAGCTTCCCCGTCCTCTTTTAAATTCCGCAAACTAATTGAAAACTGTAACTCGTAGACAAGTAGTGTCACCAAAAGTTGTGGCTAAAGGTTCAATACATTCTTGCGGATTTAAACCTTTTTTGTAGTCATTATAAATCACACGAAAATCACGTCAAGAGAGCTCCATTGTTGCGAACAAAATTCCCGCCAGATTGTCTCCGAAAAATAAAAAATAAAAAAAAAGAATTCGATTTAAGACGTGTGGCGGCTTTAGACGCCGCCTATTATCACCGGCTGGCTGTGGCA